AACTGACATGGTGCATTTGACAAGACAGAGCTGACGTGCTGTTGTCACTACCTCCGCTCCGGTCGGGTTTTTTATTTTTTTGAACTCCCTCTCTCTCCCTCTTTATCTCTCTCTCTCTCTCACACTCACACACACACACACACACACACACACACACACACACACACACACACACACACACACACACACACACACACACACATTAATCAACATTGCTTTGTTTAACTTTGTGTGGGAAAATGCCAAGAACGTTAAGAAAAAAATCAGTTTAATCAAATTAAAATAAAAAAATATATATAAAGTTGTGTCTGGTTCTAGCATTTCATATTTCTTAGATCCTACTGCATGAGTTCAGATGTATTAATCCATGCACTCAAATATTAATGTTCTGATTTTATTGAAAAACTTGTTCTGTAATAGTTTTTTTTCTATTGTGATCAAAAATATTTAATCTCAATTCTGAGGCTGCTCTGTAAATAGTTTTCAAATAAACAATACACATAGCAACTTCTGATCAATCCATATCAATTTCAGACTTAAAATAATACATTGATGTAAACCACGTCCACTTCCGGTTAAACCACGCCCACTTCCGGGTTATGCCACGCCCATTCCGAGTACAGATACAGATACAGATAATTTAGTTGGTTGAACAGATACAGATACAGATAGTGGTGTACTCGCTCATCCCTATTAATGACTTGATTTGTAATAATCAGATCTCTTTGCTCTCTCTCACAGAATCCTGGCTGCAGCAAGAGGACTATGTTAGTTTAAATGAGTCGACTCCTAATTATTTAAATCATCATACTGCTCGAAGTACAGGGCGAGGAGGAGGAGTAGCAACAATTTTTCATTCAGACCTATTAATCAATCCCATACCTACGGAGCCCCTCTGATGACATGGTCCAAAAAATAAATAAATTGTGGCCACGAAATAGCTTTAACGTAAGGGACTGGCAGATAAGTGGCTGGTAACTGACTGGTCTTTGGCTGAAAGCCAGTTTACAGTTGGCAAAAAGTGTAAACTTTTTCATGATTTCATCTGCATATACATACACATAAGAAAACAATGCAATGAAATTATGTAAAAATTCAAATTTCAAATATACATCTCTTACCCCAATGTCGTTATCGCTGTCATCATCCAGGATCACTAAGTCATCATCAGTGTGAGTCTATACAATAAAAAATAAAACAGAAGACAGTAACCATTTCAAATGTCTGATTAAATACTGCTACGTGGCTTCATCAGCAACCTTGGGATTTTAATGATTACATATCAACCATTTACATTTAGTGAGTGTAACAGATACATTTGGTTTGTATTGCATCTAAAAGCCATACCTCCTCACTGACTTTAGACTGGGAGCATGATGTGACATGGATACTGACGAGTTGCAGTGGCACAAACTCTTGGCAAGAGACACAGCAGGCTTTAGGCATGGACACAAACTCTTGAGCTATGAAAGGTAGAGGAGAAATCTCCAGTGTGATCTGGATTGGCATTATATATAGACACCCCTTGCCTCCCCAGGACTTCACAAGACTGGCCCCAGTGTATCCTTCCTCTCGAGGGAATAGCAGCCGGCGTTGACCTGATCCTCCTGTGGCAGTTTCAATGGCAAAACTGTAGGTCTTGTAATTGAAACCAACGTGATAGGTTTTATTTTAGCTACAAAACCATTGTGAAGGACAATAAAGAAATACTTCTACCCATAGCTTTGTGAAGCATCCATGCGCCCTCAAGTTCAGACATTTTTGGGTATGTCTCACACAGAATTTCAGTCAACTGCAGATTTAAAGAGTGCACATTTAATCCAAAAAAATTATTAAATCTATTTGAACCTTAGAAATGTGTTTTGCAAATAAATATAATTATTTCATGCTCACATATCAAATGTAATGAGATACTCATTTATTATATTATGTGTTGACATTCATTTGTGCAAACTCAAAATAGTACCAAACTTCCTACTTTGTGAATGTCATAGCAGTTCACATACTTCCTCATGGCCAGCATCTTCTGGAACATTGACTGTCCTTCTTCCCAAACCAGCCTGTAAAAGCATGAGTTCATCAGATGGTTTGGGGTTTTTCTCAGTGGGTAAATGAAGAAAGAAGAATTGGACTGGGGTTGTTTTTATTAAGCAGTTGTGAAAGAGGTCTGCCTTTTTTTCTGTCCTTGAACAGTCCTGGGAAACATCTGGGAGAAAAAAAATTGTATAAGTAAAAATTAGATGAGCCAATAAAATGTGAGACACATCCATGAACTGTTTGTCCTTTGTAGAAAGATCAAATAACCACAACATTTTTTAAAAATAATGTCAGTTTAAGAAGCTTAAGATAATGGTATCTTTAAAATCGATGTTCAAATAACACCCAAACTGGACATATTTTGTTGAACGGCAGTCTCTGAAGGCGTGCAGGTGAACAAACTGCAATTGGCCTTTGTGCTTCCTGGAGTGTGTCCTGCCTTCTGCCACTATCTGACCTTGGCTGTGTAGTACTCTGTCCCTGAGCTTCATTTACAACATTCAACATAATTAGTCACCACTTCATGCAATTACTCTGGTCAAACAAGACATGATGTTCAATTAATATGTTCAATAACACAACACAATGTATGAAAAGGATAACCATTTGGCACTGCTGTGGTGTTCAAAGCAGCTCTCAGCATGGAAACCAAATTGATGGCAGCATTTTGTAATTGATCCTACAAGACAAAAGACAAAAAAATTGTTGTAATTAAGACATCAAAAATACTGCGCTTTGTCGACAATGTGTTTTACACTAGAGTTCACCTCTTTTTGTTCTGCCATTCTACCACATCAAAATAACAATGCCGGCTACTTGAAACAAACACACACACGCACACATTAACATAAAGTGATACAAATAGTGTGTTTCAATAAAATTTTACATTCAGTGAATGAATTGACCCAGATTTTGAAAGTTCAACCAAAGACAGTGCCACCACAAACCTGTGTTTGCTAACTTCAAACTTACTCCTTGGCAAAGAAAGCTAGTTACATGTTGTGCATGTTACTTATGTAAAACGCAGGAAATGTGCGGTCGTTACTTTCCATGCCAAAAAGGTTAATAGTTATTAAAGGCCTGGTGCTTAAAATAAAATATACTTTATAAATATCTGTAGTATGCTCTGCAAAGTTGGCTGAATGCGGCACAAGTGACTAGCTGAAACATGCTAAAGTTAGCATAAATATCTTAACTATGTCTTTACAAAGGGTTCCAGAAAATTCAACAGATTTTTCTTTGCAAACTTACCAGTTTTCTTCATAAACACATCGTGTCTAACAAAAAACCCATTAGTTAAGAAAGGTCTGCAAACTCACAGTTTATTTTCGGTTACAACTAATGTGCGGAATCACAAAGCTCACGATGCACAATGTTTAAAGAAATCCGCTAACAAAGTTATAGTAATATGTAATAAATATCACTGTATCGCTGAAGAAGGCTATTTATGAGCATTACTTACATGAAATTTTCAGTAGCTGCAGCCATCATGGGAACTCTGCCTCAGTTGGATCAAAGACGTTTTCTGCAAGTAAACAAGTACTGTGAGAAAATGTGGTAAAGATCTCTGTCTGAAAGTGACCAATCACGTTGAGGAAGGCGGCTCCTTGGAACCCGCCCCCCAAACTGTCAAAAGTGAAACTTATCCGAGAGAGCGGAATTTCTACTCGAGAGCAGAGCAGGCTGCGCAAGCATGTATTATCAGTTCCACGCACGTAGTACACACACTTACGTGCGACAGGAACAATTGTCTGTGCTTGACTGGATACAATCTGCTCTCGGGTCTTTCTAAACAAGCACAAGATGCTTTTTCGCGTTCACGGATAGTTTAAAACATGTGTGGAGGGCTTTTTTAGCGCTAGTGGATGGGAACTAATCCTCTCACGGATGTTGAATTATCTTCTCGTGATTGTGAGTGCTCTCGCGAGACCTTATTGACATAAAATTGACTCCATACATTTGTTTTATAAAGCACTAGACTATTTTTCCAGGAGAATCTTGGTGTGACTTTCGACCCAGCTCTCACACTCGATTCTCACGTCAGCTCTCTTGTTCGCTCATCCTTCTTCTATCTCAAGAACATTGCTCAGCGGAGTCCCATTCTGTCCTGCTCTGAACTTGAGACAGTTATCCACACCTTCATCTCCTCACGCTTAGACTACTGCAACTCTCTTTTCACGTGTCTGAGCAGAACCTCCCTGAACCGTCTACAGGTGGTTCAGAATGCCTGTTCTCGGCTTCTGACCAAGTCCTCCAAACACACCCACATCACCCCACTTCTCCTCCAGCTTCACTGGCTGCCAGTCAACTTCAGGGTTCATTTCAAGATCCTGGTTCTGGTCTATAGGGCCTTACATGGACAAGCACCATCTTACATTGGTGATCTTCTTAGTCCCTACACCCCCAGCAGGTCCCTGAGGTCCAGTGATCAAAGCCTACTGGTTGTGCAGCGCACCAGGCTAAAGACCAAAGGTGACAGATCATTTGCTGCTGTGGCCCCCAGACTCTGGAACTCTCTCCCTCAGAGTCTGAGATCAGTGGACTCAGTGGTCTTAAAAAGCAGCTGAAAACTCACTTGTTCAAGCTGGTTTTTGTGTGACCTTAATCACCTTCTCCTTATTCTGTTCTTAGGACCAATTCTGACTTTCCTGGGATCCGCTGATTGCCGTTTTCTCATAATTTTCTCTTTTCCTTTTCCCCCTTTTTTCTCAAAATTTATTTATTTTATAATTTTTAATCTTTTTTAAAATCTTTTTCTATTTGTACATTTTTCTTGTGATGTGCCTCGTGATTTTTATCTTGACAGATGCTATATAAAAGACAATTTCTTCTTTCTTCTTCTTCAACTTATTTAACAGGTTTAGAGTCTGGGGTTCCATCCTGTCAGAGGAGGAGCTGAGCTCTGTAGGAGGAAACAGAGGGTGGGACCTCCTTCTCCTCCTTTATAAGCAGCTGGGGGCCGAGCAGGGCTCCACTCTGCAGACATGACAGTGGTGGGAGAATTGGTTCTGGTTTTGGGTTTACTGGTGAGTGGTCACTGTGAAGTGAGAGCACGTGACCCCGAGGTAGAGGAGGAGGAGGAACTGGGAGGAAGAGGAGGATGGGAAGGGGTGATGGAGACCCCTCTGACTGACTCCTCCGTTCGATCTGGGTGAGTCCAGAATAAAGAGTTTAATTTTACTTTAAAACATCTTCCATGAGGAGGAGAAAATGTTGGAACATCTATCTGAGTCAGGCTTTTTGTATCCGTGCTTTTATTCACTCCTCCCTGTCATATGGTCAATTTGATGGTTTAGACTTTGGGCTCCTTTTTGTGAACATATTTTATTATTTTGAGTGAAAACTGAAGCAACAAGCTGACTAATGAGCCGTTACCACCCAGACTGCACTCAGATGGGGGCTGTAGGAAGGAAGACAGCAGCAAATGTTTATTGAAATCTTTGTTAAGGCAGAGCCCATTAAGATAAACATTTCATTTTGCATCATACTATTTTCCTCTCTGTTCTCTTGTTTATTTTGTGAACGCAGCTCAGTGTAAACCAGCAGTAACGTCCAGATTCAATCACAGACATTTGTTTGTTTTTATTCTATGTTGTTTTTTGTTTCACTCATTTTTTTTTATTAGCTGATCTTTTTATTTTGTTTTGTGACCGTTTGTGTCTCATATTACTCATTTTTTCATATATCCTTTCATGTACAGACTTACTTGTTTTTCTCAGAAAGTCATTCATTTGACTGGATATGAATCAACATTTTCTGGTAAAATAAATTTCTGTTTGAAAAAGTGAAATGTGACGATTATTCGTTGTTATGCTGTGATGATTCTCAGTTGGACTCTAGTTCTGAGCCATAGCCACACATCAGGCTGCTGATTCTCTGATAGTCATTCCTCAGGGCTCTTAGGAAAACACCCTAACCCTAACCCTCCCCCATGACAGCATCTACTAATTGAGCTCATTGTTTTGTAATGAGAAGCAGGTTTGGAGAGTTTCTGGGTTTTCTGTTTCTGTTATCTCTGAGGGGTGATCGATGTCAGCAAAGGGGTTACCTGTTTCAGAGGTCAGAGGTCAACAGGTGGTGGAGCTATAACGAAGTTAGTTGTCTTAAGAGATGGAGATTCTAAATGACCTTGGAGGTGATTTTAGCTAGTATTTTCTAACAGCTCTGTTTTTTATGATATTAACCCTTTGATGCATGAATTATGAAATCTTCAACCATGATTTTTTAACAATTTTTTTCATTCGTCTTTAGGTGTGAATGAAACAAATTTCAACAAATATTTTTTGTAAAATTTTATAATTTACAAATATTTTATTACATGTCCATCTCAGTGGATAGCGCGCATTCTGAGCATGAAATATGTTGGCTTGGCTTACTGAAGTCCAAATGGAGGAGCTTAAATGCAATAAAGTCTCCAACAGCTGTGCTTAATAGCAAAAACAAATAAATAACAATTTTGAGTACCTGTCCACTGTAGTGACCATTATGCATCAAAGGGTTAATATTTTTGCTGCACCCTGAGATAGTGGCAGAGGAGTTAGGTGTCCACCTCGTAACCACAGGGTTGCAGGTGTGTGACCCATCTGTTGCAGTTGTAGTGTCCTTGAGCAAGACACGTTACCCTTCTCACCTGCTGGTGGTGGTCGGAGGGACCAGTGGAGCCTGGTGGCTATGGTGTGGTTCATCACCACTAGTGTTTGAGTGTGACTGGGTGAATGACTGGTTGTTCTAAAGTGCCTTGGGGGGTTGAACCCTAGAAGGTGCTGTATGAAATACAAGCATATGACCATCAGTTTAAGTTGAGAGGAGATTATTGTGCATCAAATATCTGAAACAGCTAGACAAACACAAAGCCAAGAGAAGATACAAGCTAAAAGAGAAAGACTATAAATGAACCCTGCGATGGACTGGCAACCTGTCCAGGGTGTACTCTGCATGTTTGCCCAAAGACAACTGGAGATAGGTACCAGCCCCCCGTGTGTCAGACTCGAAGACTGGGTTCGGGAGTAAGAGCTTTTATTAGAGACTGCTGGCTGCAAGCGATGCTGAAAAGGCTGACGGGAGGATGAGGTCTGAGTTAGAAAGGTGGAGGTTTAACTGTCTTAGCTTCTGAATACTCTGATCATGGAACACGGTGGAACGATGACTGAGTGAAGAGCCGGTGTGGCGTCTTCCATATATAGACATGGATGACGCAGGTGCAACGTGGAGGGAATCCCCGCGAGGGGCATGCTGGGTAATGGTCCGAGACAGAAGCCGGTCAGCTGGGAGACGCCGGCCTGGGGGCTTGGACTCTGACAGGACCCCCCGGTCCAGGGACGGCTCCAGAAGTCCCCGGGCCACCTCGGTGGGCCCAGAAGTCCGAGATGAGGGCAGGGTCCAAGATGGAGTGGGCCGGCTCCCAGGAGCGTTCCTCTGGGCCGTAGTCCGCCCAATCCACAAGGTACTGCCAACCCCGACCCCGGCGGCGAGCGTCCAGAATGCGCCGGACGGTGTAGATGGGCTCACCGTCAAGGAAGCGGGCCGGCGGAGGCGCCGGAGCCCGAGGCGGCAGGAGTGAGGATTCCACATAAGGTTTGAGCCGGGAGGTGTGGAAGGTGGGATGGACGCGAAGGCTTGTAGGCAGCCGCAGCCGGTACGTGTCCGGGTTGATTACCTTCTGCACGGGGTAGGGTCCGAGGAACCGGGGAGCGAGCTTCCTGGAACCGGCGCGGACCCGGAGGCCTGCCGTGGACACCCAGACCCTGTCCCCTGGAGCATAGGAGGGGCCCGGGCGGTGCCTGCGGAGGTGTTGGCGGGAGTAACGGGCGTTGGCCCGGGTGATGGAGGCCCGCGCCTTGATCCATGCATTTTTGCAGCGCCTCACCAGGGATTGAGCGGCCGGCACCGCGACTTCGGGTTCCTGGTGGGCAAAGACCGGGGGCTGATAGCCATAGCAGACCTCGAAAGGGGACATCTGAGTGGCCGAGGAGGTGTGGAGATTATGAGACAGCTCCGCCCAGAGGAGGTACTTAGGCCACTGCGAGGGCTGCGCCGAAACAAAGCAGCGGAGGTATCGGCCCAACTGTTGGTTTGCCCGCTCCGTTTGACCATTGGTCTGTGGGTGGTAGCCCGAAGACAGGCTGACAGAGGCTCCCACTAGATGGCAGAAGGCTTTCCAGAAACGGGCCGTGAACTGGGGACCACGATCCGAGACCACGTCTACCGGGAACCCGTGGAGGCGCACCACATTCTCCAGAAACAGTTCTGCAGTGCGTCGGGCCGAGGGGAGGCCCGGGAGGGCGATGAAGTGAACAGCCTTGGAAAACCGGTCAGTGACCGTCAGGATGGTGTCGAGGTCATTGACCGGCGGGAGACCCGTGACAAAGTCCAGCCCCACATGGGACCAGGGGCGGCTGGGCACCGGAAGAGGTCTGAGGGTGCCAACCGGAGCCTGGGTGGATGCCTTAGAGCGGGCGCAGACGTCACAAGCGCTCGTGTATTCCTTAACATCCCTCTCCATGCGTGGCCACCAGAGAGCCTGTTTAAGGAACCTGAGAGTCCGAGAGAAGCCTGCGTGACCAGACAGGCGTGATGAGTGGGCCCAGGACAACGCTTCACTGCGACAGGCCGAGGGGATGTAGAGCCGACCGGCGGGGGTCTCTGGTGGCGCTGGGTCACCCTGGAGGGCGTTTTGGATGGCCTCCTCCAACGGCCACCCAAGGTGGGCCACAAAACGGTGCTCCGGGAGGATGGGCGCCGGCTCGGACGTGGGCGCTGAATGGGTGAACTGGCGGGAGAGGGCGTCCGCCTTCTGGTTCTTTGTCCCGGGGCGATAAGCGAGATGGAACTCGTAGGGTTCGAAGAAGAGGGCCCAGCGTGCCTGGCGAGGATTTAACTGCTTGGCGGACCGTATGTGGGTTAGGTTCTGGTGGTCAGTCCAGATGGTGAACGGCTGAGTGGTGCCCAGAAGCCACTGCCTCCATTCCTCCAACGCCCATTTTATGGCTAGCAGTTCACGATCCCCCATGCCGTACTTCTGCTGGGTGGTGGAGAACTTCCTGGAGAAGTAGGCGCAGGGATGTAGCCTGTCGTCGGGGCCGCCTTGGGACAGGATGGCGCCGGCGCCGACATCCGAGGCGTCGACCTCGACCACAAAAGGGACTGCCTGGTCCGGGTGGCGCAGGATAGGAGCCGATGTGAAACGAGCGACTAGGTAGTGGAAGGCCCGAACGGCGTCTGGGGTGAGCCGGAACGGTTGACCAGGAGGGCTCGGTCGGGTGAGAGAAGTGAGAGGTGCTACAATGGTGCTAAAGTCTTTGATAAATCGACGGTAGAAGTTGCAGAAACCCAGAAAACTCTGCAGTTGCTTTAGGCTGGTAGGTAGGGGCCAGTCCTTAACTGCCTGGACTTTCTGAGGGTCCATGGTTAGACCCTGATCCGAGATCAGGTAGCCCAGGAATGAAACGGACCTCTGGTGGAAGGAGCACTTCTCGGGCTTGCAGAACAGGTTGTTGTCCAGGAGCCGGGTCAGGACCGCGCGAACATGGTGGTGGTGTTCAGCCTCTGACTTGGAGTATATCAGGATGTCGTCCAGGTAGGCAAACACCCACCGTCCCAACATGTCACGGAGGACATCATTGATGAAGCGTTGGAAAATGGCGGGGCTATTGCACAGTCCGAAGGGCATGACCTGGTACTCCCAGTGACCGGTGGGGGTGATGAACGCCGTCTTCCACTCATCTCCAGCTTTGATACGGACCAGGTTGTAGGCGCTCCGGAGGTCCAGCTTGGTGAAAATCCGCGCCTGGGAGATGGCATCCAGGGCGGACGTGAGGAGCGGCAGAGGATGGCGATCTCTGACTGTGATCTTGTTCAGTCCTCTGTAGTCAATACAGGGGCGGAGATCACCCTCCTTTTTCCTCACAAAGAAGAAGCCTGCAGCACCTGGGGACGACGAGGGTCGGATGAAACCCTGCTGGAGGGCCTGGTCGATATAGTCCTCCATAGCTCTGGACTCGGCGGGGGAGAGAGAAAAAAGGCGGCCCCGGGGTGGAATGGTTCCTGGCTGGAGCTTGATCTCCATGTCGTATGGACGGTGAGGCGGCAGTGCGGTGGCTCGCTGCTTATCGAACAGATTGAGTGGCGCTGAACCGGATCCACCTTCCGGGC